TCAGTGTGTTTTGTGTGCATAATATATCAAAAGTTTGGACAGCCGGACAGGAAAATGTCCGGACCTGAGCAGTCCTTTCGGCATGCACAGTGTATTACATGTGTGTGTTATTATTCTTTTTTTGTCAACAAGTTGCACTTTTGTGTATCGGCAGAAACTTTCAAAGTTGATATCAGCAACACAAAGAAACTCCTGCAAGGGGAACGTGGGGAAATTATCTGCGAAAAGGGCATAATTGTAAGTACCTTTAGTTGGGGTTGCATCCTTTTCAATCATTCCCCCCTAAATCCTTTTAATTTAATGATATATCTATATTCATATCTATCTGGGTTTGTCTGTTTAGGTTGTCGGGGAGTCTGGACTGTTCACACCGGCTGATATTGCTTATGTACAAGAAGCTGGCGTTAGAGCAGTAAGCTGCAAAATAATTTTGTCCAGTAAATTCTATGTTATTTTTGAAGCGTTGAAAAATAATAGGAATGCATAGGAGGTGTGGGTGTGGTATTTGGAGAGGTAAATGACTTTCCCGTGTTTGCACTCTTAGCTCCCTCAAATGGAGAGGAATGAGTGACATGTTGTGAGTTGTCTTCCCTCAAGGTGGTATAATGGTTCCCGTTTGGTAAACCGTTTTTAGATTATCTTTCATTGCCATGGTTTATACGCAGCACCATATATTTAACGCAGTAGGTTGCATTCATCGAGTCTGCTAATTTAGAAAAATCTATGCATACATTGCCCTTTTCATTTGGCAGAATTAAGCTAAACGAAGATAAATGAGACATCTATTCCCATCTTTTTTTAAATACTCTGTTCGATTTACTTAAATTTATTACAAAATACATTTTTATACTTTCCTAGTGGATTCATTTCAATCACACGTTCGCCCTTCTCATCATATAAATACTCTTGAAGCTTTATTAAGAAATTATTAAGAAATGTATTTAATATATTAGTACTTCTTAGCAGACTCATTTCAGTCACCCTGCCATTCATCCATTTGAGAATTCATTTATGATGTTGTTTTTAGTAGTCTTTTAAGCCATTCAATTAGGCGGGGGATGGCGGAGGGGTATTTATCAGGCCTATGCTGGACTTTTACAACAATGTGTACCACACTACATAATTTCACATTTGGTGATTTTGCAGGTCTTGGTGGGGGAGTCGATTGTGAAACATCGAGACCCTGCACAAGGAATTGTGGAATTATTTGGAAGAGATATTTCTTATTGAGCCCAGATCCCACAAGATTGTAGGATTTCGGGGTTTGGATGAACCTTGCACTAGATCCAGGAGCGGTGCCAGGGCATTGGGTCGGACTGGGCCAATACAAAGAATATTTTTTATTTTTTTACACAGAATTTTTTATCCTAAAAATATAGGCATTTTTTAATTTTGGGGTGGGCCGAGTGTAGGTCCCCCCGAGTGGATCAATGTTGTACAATTTTGTGATGTCCAATGGTTTTTATACGAATTTGTGCTCTATCTAGTGGCTTAACATCTTTAAAAGCTCTCCTGATACCGGTTAGTTAGTTAGTTATATCTGGGTGAGTTGCCAATAAAAAGAATTTGCCTAGTCCTCTTTAACACGTGTCTGCTGTTGGACAAGATATTTTTATCAAGTAAAATATACGAAGTATATTTTAATATATTTCTTTAGTACATTTTGATCATTATGAGGCTGCATGGGGAATTTCATGATTGCAGGTTCAGTTTGTACCGGGGGGTGGAGATACAAATCCATAATTGATTGACGGTAAATAACCAAAAAACCATTATTTTTTCGTCAATCATACTGTGTTTTTAAAAACTTATGGTATGATTAACCAACCATTATAAAAATGATTTATTGTATGGTTAAGGTTTCAAAATTAAATATCATGGGTTAGCCGATAAGATAAAGGAGCAAAGAAGAAAAAGAAAAGAACCAATGCATCTTCCCAACATATTAGAGTAGTTCTTAGCTTCCCTACTGAAAATGAAAGATGATGCTTTATAGCTTTGTACGAGCAACAAATACTAAAAACATTGCTAAATAATAATAAAAAAAGCAACTTGAGTGAGTATTAAGTTGTAGTAACTTTTACACCATTCTAAACTATTAATCCATGTCTTGTTTAACATAGATTTTTGCAAGTTAATTTTAAGATCATGTTAATTGATTATAAGAGTTGGAAAATGCTTTCAGTCTAGGCTAAGGTAAGGTAAGTGTTTCTTGACGTAACTTTAAATTTTGTCTATTTATCTCATCGGGACCTGCTCTATATCCATTGTAGATTGCAAGGAAACACTTTAGATCTCAATTATATTTTGTCCCTTTTGCTTCAATAGATATTTTGAGATAGTTTTATATCCGTTCGATGCACGGGTTGAAAATCTCGTTGATAATAGCATACATGCGACTTTTCCCTCCTGATTTTCGCAGCATTCTCGGTGACTCTTTTGAGATTTTTTGAATTTTTTGTTAATGGCAATAGATTCCATCGACTTTTTTTCCAGGGGTGGTCATGGACAAACAATTTAAATAGTATAGTATCGTTATGGGATGCATTCAAAACCATTGGTATAGGGCCTGTTTGGTGACAGGTGCATTGGCTGGAATGGCTGAAAAGCTTGAAAAGACGGAAGTAAAAGTGTTTGGTAATATATTGGCTGAAATGGCTTATTGTGTGTAAAATTACTATAAAGGGTGACAATAATTCTCGAAAGAAAGGTAATGCCATGCCTTAGCAACTCCCAACATATCCACTCAGAATTCTCGAATGCAAAGAAAAGCATGCCTAGAAAAGAGATTTTGACCAGATACAAATATGAGTGTAGTAGTTGCTCACCTACAACAGAGAAGATCTTGACGAACTCATATTAAAAAAAATCAAACGACAGATCAATCAAGGAATTATATGGAATGCCGAAGAGCACTTTACCTTTAATTAAAAAAAAAACAAACGACATAACAATCAGCAGACATTTTAAGTCTGGAATGCTAAAAATTGAAGATGAAGATGCTATCAATCACCTTACCTTTAATCTAGATAAAAATGGAGAAGCGTTCAAGAGTTCTTCTGGAATGGCGAAGCTATGTAGCAGCCGAGTCTGGAAGATAAACCTATGGCGCATAAGGCGCATCTCTGGAAGGCAACGAAGCAACGAGGCTTAAAACAAAGGGTAAAAGGGTATTTATGATTCCCAACGGTATAAAAATATTTTCCAGCTCAAAAAGCAGCCTTGGCATTACTTTTTCGGCTGATAAGATAATTCAGCCCAAGTAGCCCAAAAGCCTTGTGTTTGGCTGTATTATTTGATTTTCAGGCTTATAAGCCCATTTTTGGGGCTCCAAACACCCTCATATATTAGACTACACGACCAACTTACAAGCATGCTTCGAGCGTCAAAATTGAACTCGATAATCTCATTAACTATGTTAATTATAACAAATAATATTCATTATTATTAATATAAAATTCTCGGTTCGGTTGAACCGATATTTTAGGTATTTAAACCGTTTTTATCGGGTCTCAATCTTTGGGTCCCAAATTTCAATTGCTTTGGTTCAATTCGATTATTTTCCAAGATGGTTCGACTTCTTGCGTTTCGGTTTTCGGTTCGAACTGCCAACCTTAATCTACACTGCTACTCTTTTATCTTTGTCTTGATCATTTTTATCTCCAATTCTCTCATCTTTATTATGGAAGCAATGTTAGCTCACTACGCTATCTATAAAAACATGTCAAACACATGCTCTATTTCTCTAGGCACAATATCTTCACTGCCAAAAGATTTTGTATTTGGACACACAAAAACACCGGTTATGGTACGCTACGAAGATATTTCATAGGAAGCATTCAACACTCAAACACACCAATAATGAATTAAGTGTTGTATTCATGTGTTAATAATTCAAATGTTTTGCACTGTTTTCATATTGGAGTAGTATTTATACCTATTCAATGTTTCAAAATTTGTAATAATTTCAAATTTGGTATTTGTTGTTAGGTCTCACGGGTTGAATTTGAAATTCATATGATATAAATGTGGAGCATTTGTTATTTAAATAACTCAAATAATCCTTTTTATTTTATATTTTTACACTTTTAATAAATGGTTTGGGGAGGGGGGGGAGGTACTGGAACTGGAATATAACAGGCCGCAGGCCGTGAGCCCCTATAATTATGGTTTTTGCTCTCTGGTTTTAATTCCCCCGGTGTATCTCATACCATAATTTGCCTTGGATGAGACTATGGGAGTGTTTGCGATTGCTTCTGCTTTTTAAAAGTGATTTTTTTAAGAGATTATTGGAAAAGTGATTTAAAGTAAAAGTAGATAGTGTTTGGAAATAGAAGTGATTTTTATTAAAAGGTAAAAGTTGGTGTGTTTGATAAAAAAGTGATTTTTGATGTAGTGTTTTATAAAAGTACGAATATGCCCTTCTGGATATGGTTTTCTTTCTTGTTTCATCAGCCACGTGTGTTTCTATAATTTCTTTGTTTTTTAAATCAAAAAATTATCCCTGCTTTTGATTCATGGAAGCAATCAAGAGTACAATTAAAGAGTCCTACCCAATTCTTTCACCAGTAAAAGCAAACAAAGACCGAGACCTCAAATCCATCTCCAAAAGAGAGAAAATACCCAATTCATCAATCAAACAAAATAAGAACGAAAAATCAAGTAAATTAAACCATACACGTGAGGGCTCTAATCATCATCGCCTTGGAATTTTTTGGGCTTCCGATACTCCGATAGTTCTTAAATGGCGGTTGAATCAAATGGCTGTGGTCTAAAATGGCGGAGCAAGAAGCAGAGAAATTAAAGTTGGTGACGAAAACAGGGAGGGCATTTTGGGGCTGGCCGAAAATGTGTGCCATAATAATCTTCCCTCAAATTCATTTTAATTACAAGAATACCTAAAAGCAGTTAGAAGTTGGTATACACCAGCTTCTAACTTTTGGCTTTAAAGTGCTTTTTTTAATTAGAAGCAGAGTTTGGCAAACACTTATTTTAGCTTTTTTTAAGCTAAAAGCTGAGAAGTGCTTAAATTAAGCATTAGCAAACACTCCTTATGAGAGTATACGTCAACGACAACGGGCATAACAAGAAACCTGATTGGTTGATTTATTTATTCTACAACGGATATTTGTATAAACATCAAGCTCATGGAAGAGAATCATTAAGAGTGGATCTTTGATGAGGTTATAGTATAGAATTTATATCCTCCCACCTCTCAAACCTCACCCAATCACCCTCACTGTTTGGTGATTTGAGTAGTTGATTGGTAAAATGGCACTACAAATATAACAAATGACAAATATCATCACAAATTCGCCGTTGTTTCTTTGATCTCCTCCATAGAAATGGTCTGCAACAGTAACATTTGCAACCCAATGTAAGTCGTCATCCACGAGATCGCAATAATAACATCTTATAATAACTAGTACACATTGTCGATAGACTAACAAGTAACAATAATGGGTATTTCATGAATTACATTTTGAACTTAACAGACTATTGTGTTTTCCTCAACTTATTGTTTTACACTTTTAAGGTATTACTCACTCTTATTCCGTATTACCCAACCAACCATATTAGAACAAACCAAACCAAAAATATTTTAACAAGACCCAATCAGATGTTGTATTTCAGACAAGAAATATTAAACAAGATGAGAAACATTCAAAGACAAGCCAAAAAGATACAGATCAGAACATTTCTTGAAAAACTCAGATCAGTTAGCATTTTCCCGAGTGAAAAGAACATGTCCTAATGATATACGGAGTAGTATTTACCTGCTCTTTCCCAGCAAAATCATTGTCATGTGTAAGAAAAAGCATGCAATGGCACTCCTTCCTGTAAACACAAACCTTATAATAAGTGTACACACACATATAATCGAGTGCCTCGGCATACTTATATTTCCATCTAAATCTCATAAGTCTAAAAAGTAAGCCTGCCTCTCTCTCATAGGTACACAAGGGCAGTTCCAGAAGCCCTGCTGCACTTCTGCAGCTTTATCATCATAGTGCCTGTAATAATATAGATCAATAAAAATGAATTAACAGAACATATAAGAAAAGTTATGTAATTGTGAAAGAAAACATTCAACATTCCGTTAACAAATAAATGTGAAAGAAAACAAATATAATTATGTAATTAACAAAAAGATACAGATCAGAACATTCCGTCAACTTGTAAATGTGAAGGAAAACAAATATAATTATTTCTATTTAAATTTACATAATTAAACATATATATTTCTGAGACTACATAATCAACATAAAAAACAAAATGAGGAAAATACAACAACAACACCATCCAAGCCTTAGTCCCAAAATGAGCATCATCAAAATGATCATCACCGGATATCTAAAACAAATTTGTTGTTTTTGGCATCTTTTATTTACCCATGTTCTCTTTCCTTCCAATTTTCCTACACGTTTTCTTTCTTATTATTTTTCCCTATTATTTTTTTGCGAACTAAACAGAGCCATAAATTCTCGTGAAAGAAAAAGATCCGGAGCTGAATATTTTACCTGCAGGGGCAGAGCGGAGCGCCCAGTGAGTCCTTGTGTTCCGCCAGTCCCTGTTTACATTTTAGATAGCACATCAGACTACTAATGAATCTGGAGAGACCAAGAATCTCAATACCCCACAAATATACAGATTACAGATTGACAGGCAATTGAGTATATTAAATGCACTGTTTATTTTATATCACAGGTGCAGATTTTAACACTTCTTGTTTGAGAAGAACTGGAATAAATTGATCATTACACCTAACACCTGTCCGGGTATCAAGCTCAAACTGTGGATACTTCATAAAAACTAGAATTGATATCTTTTATCCAGTGATCTGCAGAGAAACCAGTAAAATTTAAGAAATCCAAGTAGCTGCATTCTATAAAATTTGGGAACAATGAGATACATTTTCAAACAACAAAAAGTTTAAATTAAAGACATTCAATTAGCTAGCAAATGCTTTCACAAAATTGATAAGAGTTACAGGCTATTTATGATCTTCCAACAATTAATTTGCAAATTATCACACCTCTATCAGAAGTGTTAATGTTTTGACTGTATTTGGTAGCCAATAATGCTCATTCTACTATCAGAAAAACTTTGGACTTGCTTGTTTGGCTGCAATGGATGATACCTAACACCTTTTTTCAGCAGATTCACAAATTTCAGCGAAGTAAATCTTACCAAGTATGCTCTTAATACTGTGAAATTATAAGATTTTAGCAAGTGCTCATGGATCCCAAATTAAATTATGAGGCAAAAGACAATGCATACAAATAACAACCCAATTTTTTATCAGTTGAAGTATAGAAGATCAGGCCTAGCATGTAAAACAACTCCCATATAACCAAAGGATATAACGACCTTAATAACAACAGCAGTGACCCCTTTGTCAACACAGAAGTAGGTTCCAGACCTCCTAGCATACTGCTCCGAAAACTTCCTCATTACTTCAACAGATTGCTCAGACGGTTCAGCTATGCACATTGATCATAATGAAATCCAAAACACGAATTACTCCTTATACAAAATGTGAAGGTCGTACTAAATAGAATCAAAATAAAAAGCATGGTGATTAAAACAAGGAATTAAAGCAATATACGTGAATTAGAAGAGGGAAGAAGAAGTACCTGCGGCGAACACGACATGGCGGCGTCGAGTGAAAGAAGGCCAACTGCGGGGAGTCGAAACGGTGGATGAAATGCCAAAGCCAAGATGATTGAAGGAAACCGCTGCCTGAAGAGCTCCCATAGTGTAACTAACTAACTTGTTCTTGTAGTTATTCACGCTTGTATGAAATCGGCGCCACAATTTTGCAGAAAGATATCTCTACCTGCTGTCCAAAGAGCTTAAAGGCCGCCAGAACTCATATGCATAGCACACTTGGGCGCAGCGGATTGAAGGATCAAGGACAGATTTTCAATGGGAAATGAACGGATTTGGGAACATGGGCGCCACACGTTTAACCCGGGTAACCCGTTTTCTTAATCAATAGTGGCCCCTTTTGGGTTCCTGAATATTTTAGAGCAAGAGAGGGTGCTTGACTTTTGGGGTCCATATCTTGAAATCTTTCTTCTTCCGTTCACGACCCTTTATCTGCAAGGCACTCTGTCACATGGTAGAAGATCTCAACGTTTCTTTTGGTATCAAAACCTACTTTTTTAAGGTGTTTGAAAGAAGATAAAGAAATATAATGTTGATTAGGTGTTTTGATGGGAGTGATATGAAGGTAATGGATGACACATACTTTTTTTTTCCTTTTTTGGAGGGGTAAAATCACTTAAGAGAAAAGGCATTGGAGGAGCTATGGAGCATGGGTCAAGCACCCAATCCACCCATTCTTCGGGTCAAAAAATTTAGTACTGCTACATATAATATAAATTAATGTCTTTCCTGTGTTTCAAAAAAAAAAGTTCTCGCAAGCATTCAAAATCAGTAGTACTGTTTTGTAATTTTGGCTCGATGAGAACTCTCAAAGCATTCCTAATGAATCTATCTCTAGTGTTAAAAATGCTAGTGCATAAAACCAAAATATTGTTAGAGATTAGAGTAGTCAAATTAAGAGGAACAAGAGAGTCCAAACAAAAGTACATGTGCATGGGATATTATTAGTGATCTAGTATTTTGAAACCAATCAATGAATATGCCTCTATGATTAAAGATGATTTGAAGAAAGACCATGTTGTTAATGGTGTTTGTAAATTTTTATCTCACAATTTTCAATGAACATCATTTGGAAAGACATTACAGTGTTTTCAAGGATGCCATTTCTTGCTATCGATGTTACTTTTTTAATGGATAAGAAGGAAAAAGATTTAGAGATGAAGTGTTTGTGAGGACCAAATTCCATATTTGGAAGAAGGCTCATACGGAAAGTAGAGAGTGTGTGGGAAGTAGGCTTGGACCCGGTTCGGGCCACCCAGCCCGGGAACCGGCTATCGGTATCAAGTCTAGGCCCGATTTGTAGGGGAAACCGGGGGCGGGTTCCGGGCCCGGTTCGGGCCTTTTCATTTTTTGTTGTTTTTTTTTGTTTGGGGCTTTGGGCTGGGTTTAAATGGGCTGGAATGGGTGATTCAGATGGGTTTGTGGGATGTGGGATGGGCATAAAATAATCAAGAAAACCCAAAAAAATAGAACCAGACCTAGGGGTGGACCGGTTCCGGTTCGGGCCCGGTTCGGGCCCGGTTCGGGCCTGGGCCCGGCCGGGCCTCGGTTCAGAAAAAGGAGGCCCGAGCCCGAACCGGTGGTGGGCGGTTCCGGTTCCGGTTCCGGGCCAGAACCGGGCCGGGCCACCCGGAATGTTTTTTTTTTTCTTCTCTTATTTAACCCCCTACCCCTCCCCCTCCACCCCAAACCACCCCAAACCACCTCAAATGGCCCAAAATACCTAATCCAACCCAAAACTTAAAAAAAATTCAAAAAAAAAAAAAATTAAATTCCGGCCCGAACCGGGCCTGGCCCGGCCGGGCCGGTTCACTAAACTGGAGGCCCGGGCCCGGACCGGTATACCACCGGGCCGGGAGGCCCGAACCGGAACCGAACCGGTTCACCGGGCCGGTCCAGGCCCGCACAGTAGCAGGCCGGTCCAGGCCCGCACAGTAGCGGGCCGGTCCGGTTCCGGGCCGGTTGGCCCGGCCCGAGTCCATCCCTAACCAGACCCAACCCAGCCCGGGCTGGCACCGATCATCTTCCGGGCCAGTCCCGGGCCTCTCTGAATTTTTTTTGGCCTGGCCGGGCCTTGGCCCAACCCAGAACCAGGCCCGGTTCAGTCCATGACTAGTGGGAAGTGTAGATATCGCACATAGTGATGCTAGAACATTATTTGTTTGAATTTTTTACCTCAAATAGGACTAAATTATTCCTGAAATTCCCAAATAGGACTATCTATATTTTTATTCTCCAAATAGGACTACATTACCTACTTACCCCCTATTTCTTTCCTCTTTAATCCCTGCGCACACCACGTTCCAACTTCCCCTGCGCAAACCAATCGACCCATCTCCCCCCTGCACCCTCATCTTCTCCTCCTTCCCCTAATCCACTTCACCATGAACAACCAACCTAGACACCCAGTAGTCTGCCATCTTCTCTCCGCCCTCACACGCCCATCTTCTCTCCTTCCCCATGGCAGCCGCCATCGCGAAGTCCGCCACCACCGTCATCACAAAACCACCATTGCCTCTATTGGAGATGGGATTCTTCTTCCCCATGCTCCATTTCTTCTTTGAATTTTACAGAATGCCAAGTTAAACTCTAAAAATGCCATCAAAATGGCATTCTTTGTCTTCAAAAAAATTGCATTTTCCGTTGCAAATGCCATTAATGTGGCATTCTGGTAAAAACCTTGGCATTCACTCTGGCAACGGTCAGATCTGGAACAGAGGAGGTCAAATTTGCAGCAACACATGCCGGATATGGTGCAAAGGTGCTTGGATCTGTAGGGAAAGCGTCCGACGTCCGACGGAGGCTACTGCTGTCCAGATCTCCTGCGGCTCAAGCTAGATCTGCAACGGCGGCATCCAGATCTACAATGGCGGCTAATTTTTTAACGACAGTGATGTCCGGAAACTGGCGGCCACCGGCGGCGAGTGGCGAAGACTGGCGGCGACCGGCGGCGACCGACGAGGGGTGGTGTCCTGTGTTCTGGTCGCAGCAGTATCTTCCAAGCATATATCAAGGGCGTTTTTGTCCATCTACAGATTATAACTCCTATTTAGGAATTTTTAGACTTTAGTCCTATGTTGACAATTAAAGATTGATTTAGTCTTATTTAGATAAATATCTCTATTTGTTTTCTTTCAAAAAGTCAAAGGTAAAGTCTTTAATTTCAAGAAGGCTAGAAATTAGCGAGGAGGTTACAAATAATGTGTAGATCATAACATAAGGAGACTGGAGAATTTTACTTTAACATAAGGAGAGTAGGAGACTTCGGTTTTATAGATCATAACATTATTGAAACGTCTTTAAGAAAACAAAACATTACTGAAATAATTTCATGTTGAGTTTCTGAAAAGACTATAGTTACCACAATTCCTTTGTAAACTTTACCAGGGCGTCGAAAATAGGCTGATTTGCTGAGACAGCTATACTTTTAACAATTATATGCACAATTATCATTACGAATAACTTCATGCTATAGTCACAAACTCACAATAATGAACATATTCATTCGTCGTCCAATTAACCACCAAAGCTGTTAAATAACTTCAAACTGGCATCTTCTTTGTGGTCTACTTGCAGCCCACACTCGAACCGGATTGCAGATATAAGCTCAGGGGACACAGCCATTTGAACCTTCTGCTGCTCTCTAGTAGCATTGCCGCTACCCGTGGTGCGAGTCGCTTCAATCCCCGCAGCGCCCCAACCTCTGTACAATATAACTTTGTTTGTTTCATGGCAAACAAGGATAGCACCTGTAGCTTGCTATAAGGACACAAAGAATCATAAAACCCATTATATGTCAAACTGAACCGTGAAATAGATAGAATAAAGGTGCAAGATAAGTGCCATTGTTTTTTTTTACTCCATGTTGTTTGTATTTTTTATGGAGGTGGAGAAAGATGAAAAAGAACACGGAAGAACAAAAGAGAGAAACAAGTAGATAATAATACAGGTGTAATCACAATTCAATTGCAGCTCAGAATAAGATGCGAGTAATTAAACCCATACACAATGATCATTACGTTATCCTAATGTTTACTCCTAGCCTTCAAGGTGCAAATTGACCCTATGTGTTTTTAGGTGCTGTTGTGCTAATGGGTCTTTAACGTCTCCTCCCGGTGCACATCACTACATCAGTCCTTATTGCTCTCAATTTTAGCTTAAACTAAACATTTCATCTGTCTCGAAATAAACATCATCTTCTTTTCACTGTATCTTAATTATTTCGTTGTTTCTATATTCTAAAATACTTGTTTCATATTGAAACAAATACTAGATATAGAAAAACATTAATTTATTTAATTAATCTTTCTTTGGTAATTTTCAATATACGCTTTAGCCTTCGGGAACAATATAGGTCAATGTACATTGTAGGAAAGCTTTAGGTGCAAAACTGTTGAAGGCCAATCACCACATAGAGTGAAAAAATTATGGCATATTTGCACCTTTACCCAAATAGATATGTTGTTGAAAAAGAATATGGGCACAAACCTCAAGCTCAGATGCCACCTCCCTCACCGAAGTCCCAATTGCTCTACCTTTGACATTCACAACCGCAAGAGGATGCTTCTTAAAGTGTGTCTTGATCACTTTGGCCACGCCAGTAGATATATCACCTTTGCCTTGAACATAATAACAAAGAACAGAAGCTAGGTGTCATGATTAATCAAAGGTATCTCTAGTGAGCAGACAGGCAGAAGACCAAGAGGTTGAGCCTGTTTAGCCTACATTAGAGCAAAGCAGGACTAATGATATAACAAACTTATGAACTGTATGACATTTGGGCTTTTTAGCACGGTTCGGATAACTCACCGGTTATTGGGGTAAGCCCGTATAGCAAGCAGTTTTTAAATATAACTTAATTCTAGTAACTATAACTTTCTAAGTGTGTGTTTGGATGGAAGGTTTTGGACGGGAGAGGTTTCGAAGAGCTCAGTCTATATTATCATATTTATTTAGGATTTTAAAAATTGAAGTGATAATATAACGGGTCTGATCATATACCATTTCAATCAGCATGAATTCATTTTTAAAAACATATTTCATCTTGATATGGACCAAGTTATCCCCTCAAAAACCCTCCCAAACCCTCCATTCAAACACATGATAAGATGTTGGGTTTTAGGCTTTTAGTGTCCTTATTTTGCTCTTTAGCATTTTCTCTCATAACCTTGTGTTACTAGTCCCAACTATAGTTTTAAATCCTCAAAGAAAAAATAGATTTTTTAATAAAAAGATAGAGCATGGGGGCGAAGGTGTGGCATATCTAGTACTTCAGCATGCGAGTTGGGTAATGAAGATGTCAGCCTGTATTAAAAGTGCCATCAAATGCCATCAGTTCATGACATATTTAAAACAGGCTGGCACGACTCAATCAAATTTTTGGCCCATTACGGGTTAGCATGCTTTGTGAGCTCTACTTTAGATGAGTGCAAACATAGAAGTTTAATGACAATGGAAGAGGTACTTAACATTTACCTACAGCAAGTACAGGACGTTTTGTTGTTGTAAGGGCTTGTTTTCGAAGAATAAGCCTTTCTCTGTTGGAAAGGGGCGAAGCTCTAAAAGGCACTTCTTGGGATTCTTTTTCTTCTAGACCATGTTCTACCTTTGTTTTAAGAGAATTAACAGCAAAAGATGCTGCTGATTTCATGTCAAAATCTAGCCTCTTCTCAGCTCTATCATGGAATGAAGAACTTGTCTGATCACACATTCACACCCAAAGTCCAAACATAAACATGAGCTATTTCAGACTTAGAAATTAGAATACTAGAAGTCTAGAATATTATTTCTGGTACACTGACCTTAAGGCTCAGTCTGTAATGAGGAAAAATAAGAGAAAGAAAATAGGATTGAATTGTTGAAATAAAGAAAATAATTAATAAGTGAAAGGAAAGAAGATTTAGGGAGAAACAAAAGATTGACATAAAATCATTAAATGTATTTTTAATGATTGTTACGAACTCATTCTATTTATGTATTTCTACTTTCAAGTATACAAAGACTAAAAACTACGGAGTACTTTTTTAGTTAAGTCCACTCCACGTAAATTTTTTAGTATTTTTCAACACAATGTCAAACATTAGAAAATAACACTCCACAACATTTTCCTTTCCCGAGCATTTCTTCTGGAACCTAAACATACTTGTATACCTTCAAAGAGTGAGGACCTGATGCAGTTTCATACTTTACATTGTCTGCTTCTAAAGTTGGCTCACTTTTGATTTCCTTGCTGGACACATTGTCCCCATGTTCAGATTCAATAGTATAAGTCAAAAATTCATCTTTGTTTTCCAACAGCATAGAGTGATCACTTTGCAATTCCTGCAGAACCGAGTGAATGGTGGCTATCAATTCAACAATACAATCTATATCAAGTACACTTCTGTTTCATGATATTAGTCGTCTTAGTTGAAACTTTTTTTCACAATATCTGTCGTTTATAATATCAAGAGAGCATTTTATCTGAAACATCTCACTTCTTCTAGATCACAATTCTCAATTAAATAATTTTTAATAGTTTAAAGGTGTAATAATTAAAAGGAATTTTAGTTACAAAATTTTAAGATTTTTGTAACGAGCTAAACAATGATTATGCTACATCCCAAAACGCAGTTAATGCAAGACAGAGGAGAAAATATCAGTGTCAGCTCCATATCAGCCAGACAGCCACTAATTACAACTCAACAAACAAATCCCATTTACTACTTACTTCTTCAGGACTTGACAAGCAGAGATGAGCATCATTTATCACCTGCTGATCTTTTGCAAATCTTTCATTTTCTGAATTCAAATTTGGCAGTAATTCAATTCCCTTAGTGGGCAATGTGTAACAATTCTCCACAACACTCGTATTAAACTCAACCTCAGCCTTATTTTCAGATTGGGTAGAGACATTTTGTTGCAATTCCTGCTGAGCATAGTAGACGGAGGGATATCAGATCCACTTTTAATATCAGCCATGTAAATACGCCTATGAACAAAGACCAACCAAAACTCACTTTTTCAGTTTTTAAGTCTCTCAGTTGGACATCAATCATTGCACGATCTTTTGACTGAATCAAATTTAAAATATAAAGAGTTATATTAACTTCTGAAAATACTAATATGTGCAATTAAAAGAACCTCTGGACACCTCTATTGAACCCACCAACTTTAGCTTCAAGTCTTCTATGTTCTGGTTAAGCTTCAACACATGGAGCTTCAATGACTGCATTAAACCAAACAAAGAAAAAAAATATCAGTATGGTACTAAGAGAGCAGTTTGTAAAAAAATCGCAAGCAATGAGTTACTACCCCCGTACCACTAACATTGGGACATGAGGAGGTGACACGGTTATTAAGAAAAGTAGGTTTATGTGGTTGATATTGAATTGATAAAGTAAGAATAAAGCAAGAATGATTAGAACTACAACTTTACCAAATTTTGTATGAGACAATCTTAGTGGGACGGACCGAAAAGGAAAAATGGGAGAGTCTTAATAGCTTGATTTTCAAAATTTAAATGTTTCATTTTACTAGGGAGTAGGGACTAATAAATGCACGGTTAAATTAATTACCTCACGACGTTGAGCCTCAATAGAACGCTTCATTGCTTGTCGTTTGCTTAAAAGTGTCCGAGGCCTCAAGAAAGCAGGGCGTTCATAATTCTTCCCACGGTACACAATGATGGTATAGCCCTTACTGCTTTGCTCAATAGCAACTAAAATACCACCACTTTCACTCTCCAGCGTTCTTGCTATTTGTTGAACCTCCTCAATGCCTTTCCTCCCACCAGCTAAGATCTTCACCAACTCCCTATACTTCCAGTGAAGATGCATGTTTTCCACTGTTCCACTAAACACTCCTCTTCTGCCTGAGGATGAAAGAAGATGTCACCTAAACTTATCTTTTAGCCCGTGTATGTTTGGCAGATTTGTTGAGGGAGGGAAATGGATGGGTGGACTTTATTTTATTAAATTATTATGACATATAGATGGTTAGATAGAAATTAAAAATAAAAGAACAAATAAAAATACATTATTTAATCAAACATACCAGTGGTTTTCTAGTCTCAAACTAACATTGAGATTGAATTAGTAAAAAAGGCAAGTCTCTTCCTCTCCCCTCTCAAACCCCCCAACCAAACAAGCCCCTCGTGTAGGGAATAAACACTCACCTAGGATTAAGAAGGGTTTCATTCTCAAACCAACCTTACGCAGCATATACCTTTCTTCTTCAGTTATACCTTCCTTATCTGTAATAGGCTGTATGGATACCTCTTCCATATCTAACTCTTCTAGAAGTTTTTCTGCCTTTGCTTTCTTTTGTAATGTCTGGAATTGAAATGATTATTGTTATAGATATAGGTAATTATATCCACAAGGAAGACTAGGCATAACAGGTACTCCCTCCTGTTTACTACAAGTGTTGTCTAGGAGGGGAAAAAATTGGTTCACAATAAATGTCATTTTACAAAATAAGACAGTAATTCCATGTTTCTAAGCAATATTAATCTTCAATGATAAATTGATATTTAATTGTTATCAAGATGTAATATTGTAAAGCTTTTCAATTTTTTATACTCCCTCTGTCCCTTTTTATTTAGCCAAATTTGACTTTTCAAGTCAATGATGTTAAACTTTTACCGATTATATATTTATACATGGTAGTATTTATAATATGAAAATGATATGAACATGTTCTTTGTTAACATTACTATCTTAAAAGTATAAAATTATTAAATTTCACATAAATATATTAGTTAAAATAATGGATCAAAGTTTACCATCTTTGATTGGAAAAGTCAAAGATGGCTAAATAAAAAGGGACGGAGGTAGTAACTCCTTTTTTGCATGATTTATTCTAAAACAATACTTATTGTGAACAGGAAGAAGTATATTTACATACAGCTTCTAGTTTGTCAGAAGTTCTTTTAGCAGCGGATTCCACTGAATATAGCTGCCTTTTTTGTGGGACATCTTTCTTATTACTTTTACCCTTATTCTTTTCTTCAGAAGGAAATTGGATGATTGGCTGTACAGCTTCTTCCTTCAAAATTAGCACCTGCTTTTCTTGGGCTGCTGTGTTGAGATTTTCACAACTACTCTCATCATTTGAAATAGGTTCAGTGATTGGTTGAGCTTGTTGATTTGCATCAGACACGGGTGAATCACAATTTTTTGGGTTTCCTCTAATTGTTTGTTTCCTCCGCTCTTCAATTGCTATGGAAACCGCAGCAGGCAAAAAATCCTTACCTCTATACAGAGTAATATAATCCTTATCCCTAGCTAGCAAGATCCCTCCGGTCAGATGCTGCAGTATTTGTATCATGACCTCAGTTAAAAGATGTTGCAAATCTCAGGGCCTACTAGGTTAGAGGTTTTTCAGGGGGGAGTTAAATGAACCCCTCTCCTCATTTGATTTAAAATATTAAGAGACAGAGCCCCTCCCCTTATTTTGGCCTTTACCAATTTGGGGTTTTTGAAGAAAAACTATCATTTTAACTTTGAACATCCCTCTCCAATCCAACCCTTCTTTCCTCTAACATAACCCAACAAGGTAACATTTAGGGCCCGTTTGGTGACCGCTGCTTTCAGCTTATCAGCCTTACTAACCATTTTTTTCACCAAACATGTAAGTTTTGATTTTGTGCGCTGAATTGTATAGAAATCAAAGGAAGGTTGGAGTTACTTTCCTGGCTGAACTATGATTTCTTCTTTATTTTATTAATATAATATATTTTAAATATATTTTTTTCACAATTCAATGAATTTCAGTGTTACCCAACAGGCTCATTACATTCCCCTCCCTTCTCCTTCGGTCTTTCCCTCTCCTCCCCTACCTTTGAAAAAACAAACTGTAAAATGCAAAGCTCTTCAATAGCAATGTGCCTCCAAACTGTAAGAGAGTAAGGTCCTTTTGGAATCTCGAAAATGCTAGATAAAAAATAGGGGAAGATGCAGGTAAAGTTTGTAAGGAAAGAAAATTTGAGGGAGAAAAAAATTGGTTCAAACTCAAAAAACGATTTTAAATGTTTCTTTCAATTTTCAACCTCATTTTTTTATATTTCTATATAATTATACGTAATATTATACTCCCTCCGTCCCAGGGAGAAGTTCCCGGGTTGACTTTCACACATATTAAGGAAATAAAGTTACTGAGGGGTAAATTTTACTGTTTGGCACTGTTTCGACACTGTTTGGCACTGTTTCGACACTGTTTGGCACTGTTTGGCACTGTTTTGCACTGTTTGGCACTGTTTTTATGTAGGATAACTTTCCATTTAAGGAAATGGGAACTTTTTGTTGGGACTGCCAAAAAAGGAAATTGGGAACTTCTCCCTGGGACGGAGGTAGTATAAAGATTATGGAAATCTAATTACATGTAAAAATTTAATGTTTTTATCAAATATGATTTCCTCCTCATATCCTCAGAGGCGCAAAATATAAAAAACCATTTCCCTTAGCTTTATTTTTCCTCTAGCTTTTTCCCCACTCCAAACATAGCCTAAAGAAGGCCACCACTATATAAATACTCATAAGCCCAAATTAAAGTGACAATTCAATTTTCTGTTCATTATAAATTTATAAGAAAGCATAAAAAATATGCCAAGCATACATACCTTCAGCTCTTCAGCCATCAACTTGCTGTTGGTGTTCTGTACTCCTCTTTTTACAGCAATTTTCGCTATTTCACATTTCTCCCAAAGCTTCACAATGGCAGCAGCTAATCCTTGAAGACTCCTATTCCAGCCTGCCTCAGAAACATGGGAACTTTTTTAAGAAAAGAAAAGTGATTCCAATGTTCCGATTCAAAAGAATAATGAGCCATCAATAGTATTGAGCTCACTTGAAGCAAAATGGCAGCGTAGAGGCCGAGCAAGTCTCTTTAATGCTGTCATTTCATCATTTGTTAGTATAGGTTTCACTCCATATGGAAGCAAGCGGAAAGGTCTCTTATAGCCAGGGACTATATCTGGCAAAAGATCAGCATCGATTGGTAAAGGAAGATTCCCCCACCAATCAGTAAAACGTGGCCCAAGCCCTTCTAACATCTGGTCAGCTTCTTTAACAAGCTTTTCCTCACCAGGAAGTTCATATCTTACTCTATTTGGAGAGCCTACCCCCTTTACCAAAGGATAAGAACCTCCATTTATGCCAAATGAGCTGGTCTCTGTTCCACTGAAGTAGGGATATTTATAATCAGTTCCTCTGTACAATACTATAGTACTTCCTGATCTCCAAATAACCAAACCTCCTGTTTTTGCCTGAGTAGTTTTAAAATATTAACAGAATGAATAGTAAAGTACTACACATTTCACAATAAACAGTGATCTATACGTTCTTTTTTAAGTGACCGTGTAGGTGTTTACACACACACACACTAGAAAAGCAATAACTTTTTCCTGACAAGAATACCAATGTAAATGTTTTAAAGAGTGTGCAGGTGGATGGACAAGGGTAATGGTAGAAACTGGCTGATTATGTTCTCTTGAAATACTAAAGAAACCATTATAGAGAGCAAACAAAAACGACCCACAACTAAAAGAGAACGAGGCGTATTAGAATGATTCAGAATATGTTATGGACAACTGAAGAAATAGAAGACAATTACGGGCCTAACCTCTAGAATATCATGAGTTCTCTTCATATTCATCATGCACAGTTCTTTACATTTTATCTTCACAAGCTCAGACCGCCTCCATCTTTCATGAATGCCATTAACAATACCCTCTGTAATCCCGGGCTTCCCTATGTTAATCTTCGGGTCAAGTTTAATCCCTAGTGTCCTCAGCCTACGCAGCTCCTTCTCGGGCAAAGTTAGCTCAGCCTTAGATATCACTGTCTCTTTATTCTCATTTTCATTCTTCTCCCTCTCTTCCTCCTGTTCCCTCTTCACCTCGTTCCTCAGAGCACGAAATCTCTGTATAGCATTGCCTGACCCGGGCAGGGGCACAGGGTTCTGAGGGGTGCTCCAACTCGGGTCGAGGGTATGGCCAACTCTGTACTTCGGCAACTGATTAGGCAATGGAACGAAAATTTCACCTGGAGAAGAAGAGTTCGCCTTTTGGTGTAGGGTTTCTTCTGGTTTTCCTTTATTTCCATCGTCTTCTACGTACCCAAGGCTGCGAAGCTTTTCGGCGACTCTTTCTATGGCGGACTGGGAATAAGATTGGGTATTGGCGGCGGCGGTGGATGCCGCTACAACGACAGAGGCCCGACGAAGCTCCTCCCTGCAGGGAACTATTGGGTTCTGAGATGTCAGCAATGGGAAGGTGAAGAGAATTAGGGGTGAAGGTTTCAGGAGGGTTGTGGATTGGTTAACCGGTCGATAAGTGCCGGGAGCGAGCAGCATCATTTGAGGTATAAATCGAGAAATGTAATTCGTCCCGGTCGGAAATTCCTTTCAGCTGAAAGGTATGAGCTTGGCTTGCCGGCGGTAAGTATATCTACACGCTTACGGCTACTTAACCATCACAATGGACATCCCATGGTAAGTGTGGAATCGGAAGTTCGGAACTTCAGAAAGAAGAGGAGCTTCACTGCTTCAGGCAGAGGTGAGTCTTTATGTCCAGATGAGTAATTTGATCATGAAACATGTTTCTTTCAGGACAAGATGAGGAACATGTCTGGTCCTGCTAAACATGTAAATGGTCTATCATTTACTGCCCTGTTTGGATAGAGGATTGGGAGGTGTTTGCAGAGGTTCGGATGGGAAGGTAAGTATAAGTTTTAACTATAACTAGTATTCTACCCGTGCGATGCACGGGGAATAATTTATCAAAATAAGTTACATATGCATAATTGTAATAAGTGGAATATTAGAATATAATAAAAAATGACAACAATAATCATTCGGTTGTTAACTTATTATGATGATATGATGTAATTGAATTGCATTGAATATGTGTGGAAATTATAAGTTATGAAAAATCTTCTTCTGATACTACATTTATGGTCTCATCATTCACCCTATCGTCATCAGAATGAAGCACCATTGGTGCACAATCGGTGGAGCTTTTATGGTTGGTAATCCTCTCTTCGTACCAAATAATGCACCACAATGGATCCACCCATACATAATTATCACCAATGCCCAAATATCTACACGCAAAACATAAGATAAAACATAAAGGAGTAAATTATTACAAATAAGTATGGCAAAAGGGTCAAATACGGGTGCCTATTACTTCTAATCCTTCATCTAAGTTCTTCTATTGAAAAATGTGTCACATGATATTCTTTAGCATATTGATTTAAGTGATGATATAATAAAAAGATCTATTTGATCTTTTCACAAAACAAACCTATATGAAGTTCTTTTCTTTTCATAAGCTTTTCAAATCTACATAATCTACGTATCAACATCAGCATCAATGTCATCTATATCATAAGGCTTAAAGAAGCCAACATTGGAAAGAACAACATTCGTAGGATGCAAGTTATTAGCAGTTTAATTTGTTAAATCTTGGAGCATTCGGAAATAAATAATATTTCAAAAATGTCATCAATAATAAACTAAATTATAACATCGATCACACTCCTAATAATTTCAGGAGTTTTAATAAACTTGGCATTTTATGAATTTACTAAATCATAAGATCCATATACGTGGTATTTTTTTTGCTAAATACATGATGTCATATATATTTTTTATAGATGTCAATAAACTTACGGAGTATTATTTAAGGCAATAAATCAGAATAAGTCATACTCCCTTCATCCCGAAAAGGTTGCCCAACTTTTCTTTTTTGGATGTCTCAAAACGATTTGTCATTTTCATTTAAATTAAGGAATATGTGGCCAAAATTAATTCTCTCTTAAGTGTAGTTTTATAGTAGGTACTCTAAGTAAGAAGATCATATCGTAATTTTTTACACATTCAAGTAACTTCAATTATATGTTTAAATTAATTATATGTCAATAATTTTTTTTAAGAGCCCGTTTGGTGACCTTGTTTTTCATTTTACCAGCCAACTTTTTCATCGAACGCGTATCTTTTGATTTCGCGCGCTGAATTGTGTATTAATAAGAAAAAAATAAGGTTGAATATACTTTTCTGATATTGACTGAAGTTACTGTAGAAGATCATTTTAGCTATTTTCAGATGATTTTTCCTTTACTTTATAAATAAAATATAGCTTAATTTTTTACCCATAAATCTGTAGAATCAGTCATGTCAGCCACTTTGGCTGAAATTTATTTATTTCAGCAGAATCACAGATTCTAACAATTGATCACAGCCCAATATTAATGATTAAACTCAGCCCAACACCATTAGACCAATACGTAGTATCTCAATCATCTAGGGGGGCCTAGTAAAGTCCTTCATCTCCCACATCCCGCCAAGCGGTGACCACAAATCTCCCCACCCCAATCTCCGAACACCTCCCTCGACCAACCTTCCAAACTCGATAAATGTCGAATATGTTTGTCAAACGAAACTTCAATTATGACATTTTGAGAATATTTTAAACAAAACAACTTACTTGGACATTGGAATAAAACTAAAAATGTTTTGAAAATGTTTTAAGTGCTCCTTACCTTGTAAATTATCAAAGTGGAAATGGCTGGTATGATAAAAAAAAAAAAGTGGAAATGGCTGGAATTTCTAGCAGCAATTTCCTTAGACGGCCCACCTTACAACAAAGTTCAAAAGATAAAGAACATACATCCCTAACACTCGGCCGACCCAAAATGCAGCCCAGATAACAGGTACCCACTCCGGCCGCGCTTCAATCACAGTTCACAGTCCCGGTCCACTGAAAATCCTCCACTCCTCCCGGCAAAATAGCCCTCCGCCGCTTCCTTCCACTCTGCACGCCACCACTTCTTCCAAACCCTTCACAACCTAGTATCCGCCTGTTCGTATCTCTCGCACTGCATTAAACCTCCGGAGCTTCAAGGTCAGGAATTATGAAGGACTGCTTTGATTTCATCTTCCAATCTTCTCTCGCACTGCTGTGATGTTTCTCTCGCGCACAAGTTCAATTTCTTTTGTTGGACTGCACTCGTTTTTGTATGCATAGTTGAAGTCAATCACTCTTAATATTGTATTCACACAAAAATTGTCTATTCATGGCGGTTTTAAGCACTCTTTTCAACTACTATGTGTAGATGATATTTATTCATAAGGTAATTTATTGGATTTGACACTTTAATACAAAGTTGAAGTTACCAATTCTATTATTCATGTAAATTTCGAATTCTGTTGAGTTTTAATGCGTCTACCTAATTATTTTAATTGTTCAGATTAAACTCTATTTGTGTTTAAACTCTAAAGAGGGCTTCGTGTTGGTTTTGTTTTAAATTTCAAAGCTCTTTTATTAAATATTCAACACACCCAGTTATTATACTTCACAAAAATTCAGTTCAATTACTTTTCTAACTTTGGTTTTAATCATAGGGTGAAGATATGAAAGCCTATTTGTAATTGCATTTGCTGCTATTTTATATTACGGAGTATACAAAAGAGGTTCACAGAATGAGAGAATATTAGACATTCACATGATATTTTAATAAGATATTTTAATTCACATGATATCGAATATTCTCTGCTGCCCTGCTGCATCTGCTTAAGAAAACCTTACCATATGATTTGAGTACTATTTTTAATCATAGAGTAAATATAAAAAGCTTACACCTAAGTGTTTTAATGTTGACCAATTTTACGCTTACTTTTTTCCAACTCCTTATAGTCTCTCTATTTAAAATGGTTGATTTATTTCAGACACTTCTTTATTTTGACTTCCAAAGCTAATTCACTTGACATTCATTTTTCCCAGTTGCCCCTACTTCTTGAAATTAACTCTAAAGTTTTAACATTAATTTAGAATTCAGGTATTAAGCTGGAACTGTCCAAACAATCTCCAGCTAACGACATAGTCCTCAACATCAATTTGTAAGATGTACACCATTCAATGTTTGGGGCACTATGTATAATGTATCGTACATTCGTACTCTGTAGTATGTAGGAAGACACCAAAAAGGAATTTCAAAGCTGTGTCACAATCATTTTTGTATAAGTCAAAGATACTATACGTAGTCAAATACTTCGCCTACAATAAGTATTTTGTTAATAATCACAATAATCTTCTTCGGAATGCACTTTGACCAAATTTAATTATACATTAGATTGTTAAAAATAGAAAATATTTCTCAATAGTTTCTAATGTACACTTGTAAGGTCAGATGTATTAACAATTTAATTTCAAAAGTTGTAGAAACTTAGAATATTACCTTCGGGTCATAGACTCATAGTTTATCTGGTGACCTTAGATGGCTACAGAACTTTAATAACACAGAGTAGAATTTTATCCAGTACTATAGTGTCAAAAACCATCCTTTCAAAATGAGCCTGCGCCCTGCGATTGATGTGTTCCCTTCACAAAAGAAAGGAAATTAAAATTAGACCCTATTAAGTTTGTTAAATTGCATCGAAATAAATTAGGTGCTAACATTGCTTTGGTCAAATTTTATGACAAAGCATAATACTCGTATAATATATTGAAAATAATAAAAAGAGGGGAGTCAAAAATTGATGTTGTAATTTTCATTCCCTAACTAATGCCTTTATCTCAATATAGATGCCTTGATGATGACACATCCAGTGATGATTTTCAATCCAAAATGGCTTGAGGAGGACGTGCTCCGGTACTTAGCTTCTTCAATATATAGTCGTGAGTCTATCAAGGATCAGAGAAACAACAGAGCTCTACAATTTTAAAAGGCGCTCTAATAAATAAAGATTGTATACAGATGGGAAT